AGGGGGCTACCCTGGTGGCGCAGTGGTTGAGAGTCCGCCTGCCGATGCGGGGGACGTGGGTTCGTGCCCCGGTCCGGGAGGATCCCACATGCCGCGGAGCGACTGGGCCCGTGAGCCATGGCCGCTGAGCCTGCGCGCCCGGAGCCTGTGCTCTGCGGCGGGAGAGGCCACAACGGTGAGAGGCCCGCGTACCACCAAAAAAAAAAAAGAACTGTTTAAAAAGTTCAGTGCCAAAGCTAGTGAGTGTGTGTGTGTGCACGCCCGTGTGTCGGGGGTCGTGGGATTGGCTCAAAGCAGCCAGTAGCTCACGTTGCCTTTGTGGTTTCATATATTTGCCTGTTAAAATGACAATACAGACACGGCACATTAAGGTTTAAGAAGCCGTTCTTTCATTAAACAAGCTGACAGTGTAGGGGGTTATGACTTGGGTAATTGAAACATGCTGTTCTGTTCAAGACCAGAACTTCATAAAGACTCCTTTCAGCCAATAGCACCCTTTGTGCCAGCAGCCTCTGGTCAAAAATGAGTGTCGGCCCTGAGGTCTGTCTCTCCCGGAGAGTGGGAAAGACCGCTCGGCAGCTTTCCGTAGCAGTCTTGGCAGCCAGAGGTCAGGGCCTTTTAAAAACCTCCCCTCCTCGGGGCTTTTGAAATCAGTTTTCGAGGCAGAAAGCAGGCTGCCCTGGCCTCCAGCCTCTCCCTTGCTGCAAGGTCTGTACTGCTGGTTGCAAATCTGAGGTGTGACTGAAGAAAGGGGACGGTGGGATTTGGTTCGCGAGGCTCTTCGAGCCGGGGGTAGATGGTGTTAGTTGCAGGTCTTTCTGGAGAGGGAGGGTTAGGTGACATCAGTGAGAGCCCAGGTTTGGGAGGCGGACCACCAGGCTTGATTCCTGCCTCTGTGGGACCTTGGATAAGTAACTTGGCCTCTCTGTGCCTCAGTTTACTCATCTGTAAAATAGACCCAGACCTAGATCTGATGTACAGGGTTTCTGTGAAAATTAAAGGTGTTAATGCAGGTAAGACGCTTAGAGGAGTGCTGGCCACACAGGAAAGCCAGGGCCCGCTAGCATCGCAGCCTTTGTAAGTGTCTACCTCTGTGCAGTAACGCCATGAAGTACTGCTGGAGGGTACCACCGTGGGGTACCACCGAGCGGTACCTCTGTGGTATCGCTCTGCAGCCAGGAGAACTGATGGCATCCGTGTCCTTCCAGGTGACCACGCCTCACTTGTAGCTCCAGGTGTGATCTCTCTTGTCCCCTTCTCTTCCTTTTCTCACAGATGTGGACGAGTGTCAGGACAACAACGGCGGCTGCCAGCAGATCTGTGTCAATGCCATGGGCAGCTACGAGTGTCAGTGCCACAGCGGCTTTTTCCTCAGCGACAACCAGCACACCTGCATCCACCGCTCCAATGGTGAGTACTGGCTCGCGCTGCCCAGTCACGCCCCCTCCCCTGTGGAAACAGGTGGCCTCTGGGAACCCCCTCTCCGCATCTTGATCCTGGGGGCCTCAGGGTCAAGGCAGGGAACTCTGGTGCTGGCCTGAATGGCTGTTGTGTGCTTCTGGTGTCGGTTCTGCAGGGACACCTCCCAGCCCCCGCCCTCTGCCCCTACAGCAGGGCTGTCGGTGTTTCTGGTGTTCTTTCTTATGTGGGGACGAGATGGGGCCGCAGTTGGGCAGATGTGTCCGGAGAAGCTATTTTCCGTTCTGGGCTGGGGGCTGGATGTGGCTAGGAAGAGTGGGGCCCCATTCCCGACGGTCCCCTTTCCCTGAGCGGGGCTCGAGGTCTGACCGGGCCGAGGGCTCGTTTCTCAGTCTCTTGCGTGTTCACTGGGTCACCAGCCAGCAGAGGGCCTTTGGGGTCAGGAGCCGGCTGCTAGGCCGGGTGGGATGGCAGGCCAGCTCGGGGCAGTGCAGAGGGTCAGAGGAGGAAGACTCCAGCCAACTGGAGTGCCTGGGGAGCCTGGGGACAGCCCCAGGCTGGGACAGAGCCTGGCCTCCAGCTGAGCCCAGCAAATGAAGGCCCTCGGTGTCAGGGCAGTGGTCGTCAGTTTGGGCCCAAAGCAGCAGGGCTGTGAAATGGGACAGCTGGCCAGAAGCCAGGACCCACATGGCTTCCAGGCAGAGGGAGCAGCATTCTGGAAGGCGTGGAGGCACATCCTGGTTAAGATAATGGCAAGGCCCAGAATCTCCAGGCGGGCTGTGCGCTGCAGCAGAGCGGCTGTGCCCTCCTGCGGCCTGGCTGTGCTGTGCCTTCAAGAGAGTAGATGCGGAAGGAGGACCAGGCAGCCCCATGGTTCCAGCCTCAGCCCCTCGCCGTTCGCTGACCCTAGACAAGGAGGAGGTGCTGGAGGGGCCCTGTAGGGCCTCCTCATCTCTGGTCTGTGGCGTGGTTCACACTGAGAGGCAGCGAATAAAAAGGGTGGGCGCTGGGCTCCGGGTCCGACAGGGTGTGAATCCAGCTCCGCCACTCCCTAGCTGGGAGCCCTTCCTCAGGCGGCTCTGCGGCTCCGAGCCTCAACTCCCTCATCTGCAAAACGGGGCCGTGGTGTTGACCCAGCAGGGCCTTTGGAGGATAGGACCAGACCCTGGGAGTAAGGTGCTGGCGTGCGCCAAAGCTAACAGAGGCTGTGAGGTGAGACTTGGGCGCCCTGGGCATGATCCTTATTTGAAAACAGTTCCTGAGATAGAAAAGCAAAAAACATTTAAGAAGTACAAATCCCAGGGTAATTAAGCAGAACTAGTCTACGGGACTCCTTAGAATTCTTAGTGTTTGTTTAGGCGGTTTCCTCAAAGACAAGACAGCCCGATAACCCCCATCCCTGCCGGCTCCCCAGAAGGACGGAAAGGCCGAGCTCCGAGGTCCCTGGGCACCTGCCCCGGGTGCGTTGTCCAGACGTCCACGGCACTGTAGAAGACCTCCCAGCTGTGGGGCTGTGGAGTCGAGCTGCCCAAAGCGAGGACCCTGGCTCCACACTGAGTTTTATAAAAAGCAGATTTATGAGGAAGAGTGTGAGTGTTGGGGGTGGGACAGGAGTCCTGCTCTCATCGGGGAGAGGGGTTTACCGGACGGCGGCTGCTCTGAGCGAGCTGTAACGTCCCCGACGCCGGGACGGCCAGAGCCCCTGTCAGCCGGGCTGTGTGTGCCCTGTTCCTTTGAAGAGCAGCTTTCCCGCGAGCAGGGCTCCAGGTGAAGCTGTGCACCCCCGTCGAAAAGAGGGTGAACGGGAAGGGGGAAAGAGCATGATGCAAGACAGTGGCCGGTTTGGAACCAGGTCCTGGTTTGGCCTGTGAGCATGGGTTGTTCTAAGGACGTTACAAAGCAAACCTCAGCGTCGGCCGGCGGAGGGGGCACGATGATGGGGGGACAGCGACAGTGGCTGCTGCGAGGCCACACGCTTACTCTGAGCTGGGCCCTCACAGCAGCCTGGCGAGGCCGGGGTGTTATGACCCTGCAACAGGTGAGGACCCTGCCCAGTCAAGTTAGGGGACCTGCCCGAGGTCATACCTTAGGGACACGGCAGTCAGGATTCCAGCCCAGGTCGCTAGCTGTGACATGATGAGGCCGGTAAGGAAAGAAACCAGGGGGAGGAACAGACAGAAATAGGCAGGCGCTGAAGGCCTCTTTGAGGAAGCCACGTGTGAGCTGAAATGGAACGAGAAGGGAGAGCAACTGTGAGGCCAGGTGGGGTGTGTGTAAAGGCCCCGAGGTGGGAATGGACCAGACTCCCGGGAAACGCAGAATGAAGGGCGGGATGGTGGGCACAGTGATCCCAGGATGAGGGGAGCTTGGCAGGGGCCAGACCATGAGGCTGGTGGAATGTGGGTGGGAGTTTGGATTTCGTGCAGGGAGCAGCCATGGGAAGCTGGGTAAGCAGAGGCAGGGAAATGATGCTGGAGGGGAAGGGCGGGGGACTTCTAGGGAAACCAGATGCTTCAGGGGCTGGGCCTCAAATTAATCGTGCAGTGGAGCCTGGAGTCTACGTGCCTCACCCCACCCAAAGGCCTGGGTGGCCAGATCTGGATTTATAGGTGAAGCCAGGAATCTAGATGTAACCAGAATACAGATTTGGGGGACTAACCCCAATCTACATTAACTGACATATTGGTTAAAGAAGAGTCCCTTTTCTCCTTAGGACTTTTGTGTCAGTCTCCTAATTTTTAAATCTGGGCAATGAATCAATCTAAAAAACAGGAGACAACTTCTTGGATACCCGCTGAAGGACAAGCGGCAGCATTTCCAGGGCTCCCGAAGGCTCTGTGGAAGGTCCCAAGAGGACAGGACAAGTGCGCAGGACGTTGGCCAGCCGCTCGGTAGTGCCTGTGGGTGGGGACGGGCCTGGGTGACTGGGTGACTGCTCCCTCCTGAGCCTCTGTTGGTTGTCAGGACAGTTGCTCATCATGATTGTGTGTTACCTTCAGTGACGACTGTTAGAGCTCAAAAGAGCATGTTCAAGGTGCTGAGACCCAGCTTGTTTTGTACCTAAGTGGCCTCTGTTCCCCAGATCAGATTCCTCATGTCACCTGACTCTTCCTAATGCCTGTCAGCCCCTTGGAGCCTCCCCTGAGCTGGGTTTGATTAGAGGGGACCAGACACGTGAGCAGGGTCTGCTCCAGGCTCCCGGCCGAGAAACAAGGCCACGGGGCTCAGCCCTTCTTGAGCGGCCCCACCTCCCAGGCGATGACACAAACCCTGGCCGGAGGCGTGTGGATCTGGCCAGGCTGGGGTTGCGGGTTTTAGGTTCTCAGCCATTCTCACCTCCACTGGTCACATGGCCTCTGCAGTTACTCCTGCCTCTCTGGGTCCCCTTGTCTATAAATTGGGACCAGCAATCCCTCCCAGGCAAGTGAGGGCTCCATTAGGGGAAATGCTTTGAAGGGGTCAAGTGCAGTGCCCGCCCTAGGAGTGGCAACTCACATAGACAGCTTCTTTAGGCCTTTAGAACGCATGCTTGATTTGGGGACACAGGCTGTTCCTCTCTCCCAGCTCTGGGTGGGAGGGGACCCACAGCTGTTGAGAGCTGTGGCCTGTCTGTCTCTGCTCAGCACTTCTTTGAGCTGGTTCTGGCTCCATCACAGCCCACACTCACTTCCCACTCAGCCTCTGGTCCAGCAAGCCGTTAAGTCCCTCTTCCACCCCACAGCCTGGGGGAAGCTGGGCCAGGCCACTCCCAGCCTCCGCCTCCCCATTGTAGTCATGCTCCCAGGGGGCCTCCCGGGTCCCAGAGTAGACGGCCACCAAGGAGCTAGCACGTTCGAGCTCCCTCCCTCTCCCGTGCCTGCTCTTTTTTTAAAAAGACTTATGTCATATCTATGCTCCAAGAAGGTGTTGACTCCTGGATGAACTTTTCCCTTTCCTTCCAGTGACGAATCCTTTCTTTCAGTCTGAGCAAAACTGATTTAGGGAGACGAAGGAGCTCCAAAAGCTCTGACGAGCTGTGCGATGGCAGGTCACTCTTCCGTTCATTCATGTGCCAGGTGCTGGCTGGTCCCCAGGATCCCCATGTGGTCAAAAGCAGGCATGATCCCTGTGAAGCTTTGCATCCAGGAAGGGGATGAAATGCTAAATAAGGATCCTAGGAGTTACCTTATGATATGAGCTGAGAAAACCACTCTGGAGGGAGGGACCTAGCGGCTCCAGTGTGGTCGTCTGAACAGCAGAGACAGTAATGAGAATGGTCTCCTGGCCGGCCTGGTGGAGGATTGCTCTCTCTCTGGCACTGATCCTGGGCCACCACTGTTGCCGATGGTAGTGGGTTTGAGACATGTGTGCCCTCTCCCCAACGCAGGAAGCTGTCCTGCATGGCCGAGCTCTGAAGCCTCACCAGGTGCCCGCAGTGGTCCAATCTGCGGTGGTGTTGGAAGGCCCCAGAGTGAGAGGAAGTGTCACGTCGTCCCCACAGCTGTAGGCAGCAGGACAGGCTGGCAAGGGTGTTTAAGGGGCTGTACCTGTCAAAGTTCATCCCCGAGGGCCCTTTGGCACAGAGGGGACCTGTCATCTCTGTGTTATGGCACGACTAGGAGCACAGGTTCCAGGGCCCCACAGCCTAGGCCGGAATCCCAGCTCCAGCACCTGTCATCTGTGTGACCTTGAGCAAGTCACTTAACCTCTCTGTGCCTGGTCTGTCCAATGGGGATAGTCCAAGTCCCTACTTCACAGAGTTAAAAAGATACTGAAAAGGAAGTCTCAGTAAATGTGGGCTCTTACTATCGTTATTTATCACAGATGAGGAAACGGGCCCCGAGAGGGCAGGGCCTCACCCTCTCTGGGCCAGTTTCCCGAGCCAGCAGCAGAGTCGGGGCCTGGGTGCACACTGAGCAAGGCTCTGCTGAGTGCTGGCGGCTGGCTGAAGCCTGAGCGTCAGCCGAGGGTGAAGAGGCGATCAGGAGTCAGGCCTCCTCCTCAAGGAACTC